AGTGGTTTGTAATTTTGTTTCGTGCTCTTAAGGTCGCCGTTTCAAATATTTTCCCGGAGACCGGCCAACGTGGTCGGTTTTTTTTAAGGTTTCCTTAGGTCTTACTGTCAGATTCCGCGTACCTTAACATGGACGAAGTTCGTTGTTCTACGTCCTTTCCGGTTAATTTTTCAGTAATCCAGTCAATATGCGATATGAAAACGTAATTAGTTGAAAGAGTCGTCAATAAACTAGGGATAAATAACGCTGTGAGTATGCGAGGTAACATTTCACAGACGTTTTTACCGCATTGTCCATTGGCACCAGGACACGAAGGTTCAGCTGTGCTTACTAAACTGAAGCTCGCTGTTTCCCTAGCATTTTACGTCGTGCCTTGTTTTCATAACAGTTTTGTTTTTCTGTCAAAGTACGAGACCTCATTTTACATCTGCGCAATAATAACTGACACAGGTGTCCCAAAAAGATGTATATACTCAAATTTAGTGAATGAAATCGACATTTTAATAAATAAACCATTATACACGTCAGCATTGGCTAATCTGGTGTGGGTGTTCGAAATGACCACCGTTAACTTCGTGGCACAATTGACAGCGGTGAGCAGCTGACTGACAAAGAGTCCATCGATGTTGCTTCTTTGTGTACATCTTTTTGGGACATTCCTTATTTTGTTGGCTGTTTTTCTTTTCGTTTTTCAGACCTTTATTCGTGAATGCCACCTTCATCAGCAGTCTTGAAGCAAAATCATGGTTCATTGCTTAGAAAAGGCAAATTTCATTCTCCCATATTCATAAAACTTATGATCGGTACAAATTATAAATAATTCCTCGTTGATTTGCGTTGCTTGAATGATTTTTGACGGTCATTTATTGTAGTTGAATCATCGCCAGTGATGAAAGAACCCAACCCAAGATTAGCAAGTCCCTGACATCACCAGTTGGGAATAAGTTCGTCTAGCTGCAGTTGAAAGGAGAGGTTATTGTGTATTTGGCGAAGTTTCAAAGATGAGGGAGTTCTACAGGTCTGCCAACGTAGATGTAACATTTAGTAATTTCTTTTTTGGTTATAAGCGCTTGTCGTATATCATGTGTTCACAAGGTCGTGGTTAGTAAGTAGGTTTCTGTGATGTTCTTCAACACGAAGCCTTTGTTTGATGAGATGCTTAGTAAGAAATTCAGTGTAATATTTTTCTTGCACTTTGAACTATCGCTGTAGCGCACATTCTCGCCCGTCCACGTCTGTCCGTCGCGTCTTTCATCACATTGTTGCATGACGTTCCTTGGTTCCCCGTCCAAGGACAACACCCGTGATTTGGCGTAAAGAACGCCTTTGGAATATCAGCTTACTCCAAAGAGTACATAAGCCCAATGTTGTTTTTAAATGAGATGTATTCGATTTCAACATCGAGATTTATGACTGTTTGACCATCTCGTGTTCTTTGAGAATACGTGCATATTATTTGTTATGTCGATACAACGGAGATTATTTACGTAACCCGGTACAGTTCATATTGTTTTTTGTAAACGATGCATTTTCAGCACCAGATGTTTAAAGCAAAGTTGCTCGAATAAGATGAGAACAGTATTGTGAGTGGTGAGTGGGTTCACGGATTTAGACCAGGACATTGAGTAATTAACGGAGTGATTCAGAAGCTGATTGCGCTCATCTAGTCAAATTCGCCTCCCGTTGTTGAACCTGAAGATTATTACCGTGTTCACAAGTTCCCACCACCAGTCCGCCCTATGATCGAGATTCCAGCTGTACGTAGGTCATGTAATGTAGCATTGCCTTATACTTGTCGCGGTGACGCCCTTGCGTTTTTTGTGGTAGTTTGAAGTGGTCGACACAGTTTGCGATCTGCCGTATGACGTAAGAAAAGTACAGGTGCTTTCGTGTAGTCTTCGGTGTTAAATAGTGTTACATATGCTCCATTATCGCATTAATTTGTAAAAGTTTAATATCCCATTAAGTTGCTGCTCGTGTTTTAAGTCTGCGTTGTTATGAATCAAGGACAGTATCTATATTGGACTTTGGCACACACACGTTTTCCTTCTGATGAATGATCTTATGGCCTTTTGGAGTAAATATATCTCGCAAAGGGGTTATCCCACGAAGAGATGTGAATTGAAGTCTGCATTCCGACGGAGTCATCGTCGTCATTATCTTGGCAGGGGTTCCGTTAAGAAATGATGGTCAGTCAGTTGCGACTAGGTTAGGGGCTGGACGATCGGCTTTTGATTCCCGGCTTGAGCGGAGATTTTTTGCAGGCCTATCCACCTTTCTGTGCCGGGGTAGGGGCTCTTTCCCAGGGTAAAACGTCTGTTAATTTCAGTCCATAGCCACACCCCTGTTTCTTTCATATCCATTTTAATATTACCGGTAAATGTGTACTTGGTCGATTTTTGCGTACTGTCGCCTCCAATGCCAGTTATTTGCGATGTACCCACTATTCGACGCCATGCAGTCTCTACTGTTGAGAAAACGTCGCTAAATCAAAGCCTGTCAGCGCAGACTATTTTATTTCCATCAGTGAACTTCCGTGATGATTGTGCTCCCTGGTGAGCCGTGTGTGTTGAGATCCGGCGAAACGTGAGTGATTTGATGTGTAGCAAAACCTCGGCCAACCAGGTTCATAAAGCTTGCCGAGGTTGCAGGAAATCGATGAACACGAACTACTCCGAAAGGTTATTGCCTTTGTCCTTCCAATCTCATTGACCCAGCATGTAAGTTCGAGTGTCCGTGCAGAAACCAGAACACTTGTCTATGAGTAAATGTTATCGACCATTGACCACGGTCGTCATATCGAAGCCCGGTGCAGGTAGTCGTGCAGTAAGTGCGGTTACGCTGAACAAAGGAAGCTATAAAATAACAAAGCACTCGCGCAGAGAAACAGTTTATTCATTTGTGTGTTTATTTGAGTTCCTTTCACGCGATATGAAAGTTAATTCTCGGTTTCTATGACAACGTACGTTAAAGAATTGAAAGAGTGGTCCAACGGAGTACGCGTTTCCAAATGCGTTATTAGCGATTTTACGTGGTTCATCAGTCCCGTTGATATTCTGCAGATCTGTTCAGAACAGGCCTGTCGGATTGTGTTGTTATTTCTTTTGTAGTTCGTTAAATATTTATCTTACGCAGAAAGTTGTGTATCGTAATGAGATCGGTGTGTTGTTGAATAGCGTTTTTAGAACATTGGTGTATTTGTTTTGAGCCTCGTGTTGTGTATGTATTACGTTTGACCGATACGAATCGTAAGAGCTCCGTCGACGCCGTTGGAATTGAAATAGCCTACTTTGTTACGAACTGCGAACGCTGAATCGGACGGAAGTCGCTCCTGTATTATATTCGGGTCGGCCCAGGCGTAAGTTCTCTTTAGAAAACTCGCTGTAACAGGGCTGAGCTGCGAAGCAGATGGAAAGCTGTGAACATTTCAAGCCTGATTAAGGCAAACGTGGTAAAATTTATATATTTGGGCCGATGTTAAATCGGAATTGCATTCATGCAGAAATTGGTGATTTTCTACCATGCATTTCATAACCTTTTTTTCTCGTCGGTCGTCCAAAAACGTAAAGGTCAAAACTAATTGTATCTGTGAAATGTAGTCCGTTACGGTAAGGGAAGAACACAGATTGGGTTTTGATTCAATATGGATGAAGTGCCAGGAGGCTGGAGAATATTGCGTATTGAGCTCCATGATCTGTGCTCTTTACCGAATATTATTTGGGTAATCGATGAAATCAGTATGAAATTTTGGTTGGGAAGTCTGAAGGGAGGAGGCCACTCGGAAGAAGGTTAAGTAAAGTAAAGCGTCCCGCTACACGCCTATGTAGGCGCTTGGAGGGAGTGGAGGTATAGCTCCTACTCTTGACCTCGGCACCAGGTGGTGGAGTGGTCGGCATCACGCCCCGGCCGGCTTTACCCTTGGGAAAGGACCCCGGTACCCATTGGACAGGAGGCTGGGTGGACCCGGTCTGGACGCAGAGGCTAGACGAAGGGGATCGGACCCCAATCGCCCAACCCGTAGCTAGTGAACTGACTGAAATATTAAAGGGTGCCTTCGTAAAATAGAGATTGAGCTTTGTGTTGGGTTCATCTCGCTCAGTTTATCAGAGAACGGTTTCCTTTTTTCACTGGAGTTTCTTTAGAAAGAAATTAAGCTAGCCAATTTGTAATTTAGGGGGTGTTGAAATTCTGTTGTTTCAAAATTGTTGGAATGCCGTGGTAAATAGGTTCGTAGTAATGACTGTCTCTCCAAAATAAAATAATCCGTGTCATTAATATTTAACTGAGGTTGTTTCTTTAGCTTGCAATCAGTTGGCTGTTGGTAGGGGTAACGACAGAATTGTGTGTGTTACATTTTCGCGTGCTTGAACGCAAGTCAGCGTTTCACGGCCTTTACTTTTTTCGTGTTGTCAGCTTTCTCTTGGTGCTGTTTTGTGTGGAATTGCCAGATGACGTTACAATATGAGTAAGTTCGGGTGAGTCATCTCGGTTGCAATTGACTCACTGTAAAGAATTGTGTGCATACGTACTCATGGCTTTCTTAATATAAATACAGAATTCCGGTTTCTTGGGCCATCGGTTAATAGGGGACAATCTTGAAGAACATAACTTTTTAACTCTTTACGTGGAACTTCGCATAATTGGGCCAGAGTGTTCTACTCCCGACGTATCCCAATTAACCGAGTTTGAGATCCCACTACTTCTACTGATCGCGCTGAACCTACCTCATCTTATTCCGAGGTATTTTATACATATAAGTATGTTTGCCATTTTACATACACTTCAATGGCCTTGGTGTTTATTTATTGCTGATGAAAATATTGTGTGTGTACAATTAGTTTAATTAGTTTTTATATGAAATGCGTGTCCCTACATTTCTGCCGAGCCGGTGGCGTATGATTTATCGTAGTGGCTTGTATTAAAAGGGGTTCAGGTTCGATTCCAACCGTATCAAAATGTTTGAATTTGTACGATTTTCTTGACGTGTGTGAAAGTTTCAGCCGCAATAAAGGGAATTTATACTTGAGTGCAAGTTTTTGCGCTGGACCCATGGGCTCAATGCCACATTGACATTGAATGATTGGGAAGAAAAGTCAGTGTAGTGTCTCGACTGTGGATTGGATGACTGGAGGTCTGTCCCCGGCTGGGGCAGAGAATTTTTTTTCAAGCCTCTGCGGCCAGACCAACTTTGGGGCCCACCCAATTCGTGCCGGGGGTTAAGTTGGACCAGGGAGTGGAGCTGACAACTTACTTCCATCTGGTACCGTGGTTAGACAGCGTGCAATCAGTTTTAAATATTGCCGTTAAATAATGTTCAGGACAAGTGGTTGGCGCCGTCGGAGTTGCGGATGGGGGTAGTACGACATGACGGATAAGTCAAACCGCTTGCCGCTTTGACCCACTTTTCTCGTCGCTACAGCACAGTTTTCTTTGATCGGATTTTGGGCACGATAAACACGTCCAGTGGAATGTACATAAGAATCTGTGAAGTGGAAGTTTGAGCACATCGGTGGCTATTTTAAGCCGTTATTTTCGTACAAATGCGAGATTATTAGTTTACGAATGGGCGAGTTCCGTTTCTTGGAATTTATATTCACTGACTCGTTCAGATGTTTCAAACATTTAGGTCGTGTTAATAAGTCAATTGGAAACACGTACGTTTATTTGAAACTTTTTTCGGCATAATGTGTTTGACTGCAGTCAAACAAAATAGATTTGTCATTGAGGAATGCATTACGCGCGTAGGTGGTACTCTGTTGTACGTGCAGAGGCCATCATCACATACGTGGTCATTGCATTGAGTTTTCCTTGTTTGCAGGGTCTCTTAGACAAATACCTGATCCCCAAAGCGAGTAATGCCGAAAGCAAAGTATTCTATTTGAAGATGAAGGGAGATTACTACAGGTATCTTGCGGAAGTTGCAACGGGGGAGACCAGAAATAGTAAGTATTTGTCTGTTCCTTAATACTTGTTATGTGATTACTTGGTGTTTATTCCACACATGTTACGCTCTTATCTTAAGCCGGTTCCTACTTTAATTACCAGTAATTAGAATGTTTATAAATTGATTGCATGTATAGGAAAATACAGGGTGATTCAAAAGTCAGTCGAGGCCTTTGAAAGTAAGAAAGTCTGATAATATACCGCTGAAATAATCGTACTTTGCTATTCTCCTACTAGCCTAATTTTGTTTTTTTTATTGATGTACTATGATTACATTAGCAATCTTACAAACGAATTATTTCAGCGGCATGTTATCAGACTTCCCTACCTTCAGTGGCCTCGACTGATTAAGGATAACTTCGGAGGACATGGATTCCTATTCGAAAGTTGTTCTCTCTGATTCCCTATATGCGCTCTTTCAGCTTGGCCCTAACCTTTTGAATCATCCTGTATAGTGAGTACTTCTTAGGGCGATTTATTTTTGTTAGGGGATTGTATGGTCCGATTTCGAATGACTGGAGGGTAGAGGGGCTCGTGATAAAATTCACATTGGCCAACATACACTAGATATGCCAGTTAAAATAAAAATGTTATTAATATTTCCGATTCGGAGTCGTTCTGACCCGACTTTTCGTAAATATGTTGTATTAGTAACCACATGTCACGGTGGTGTAGCGGTTATAACGCTGGCCTTGTAATCCTGGGGTTGCGGGTTCGATTCCCGGCGGTGCCCGAATTTATAACTTGTATTGGGCAAGGCCGTGGTCTAGGCAACACGGAGTTTTCCTCCGGGGCTTCCCCGGTTTCTCCGTGGCATCCCAACAATTACTCCATTCACACACAGAAGAAGGCAACGGCAAACCACTTCTGGATCATCTGCAAAGAACGTGTATGAACAGGTCCCAGTCCGAGAAAAGGATGGAAGGATCCTGTTCATATGGACCTGTCGTCAGACAGAACACTAAATAAAATAATAAGTAACCACATAATTTGAATTTTTTTCAACATCTGGGTCTTTTCGTATATTTTGTTTTTCTTACTGCAGTTTTGTACCGTGTACAAGAACGAAAAGATAAAGGAGAATTTGTATTATTAATCGTTTCTTAATATTAATAGCGGCATGTTTTTTCTCATCCCTTTTCTAGGCCGTAGTCATCATTGACATCGTTAGTGATTATGGCAGGTTCACCCAGTGTTACTATGTTTAGCTTCAGGTGTAATAGTGTTTGAGTATTCTGTTAGTATTGCGGTAGATACGTGTCTTGTACTTGTATTATGAATTCCAGTCGCGACTGCCAGCTGTTGCAGGAGGGCCACGTGAGGAAAAAATGATCGCTCCGCTCTCCTGCCTCTGCGTTGTACAATGCAGCAAAGTCGGTCTTCGGTTTACGAAGATTCGCGTTTACGAAATGTTGCTTACATGAATTTTTGTCTTTGGTTTACGTAGTATATGCATTTGTTTCCCTAATACCCGCAAACTATTGACTTGTGCGAAACGTACGGTATAGTCTCGGTTACTCCAAATTTATGGGATGATCGGCGTTATAGAACATTTCCATTAAGACGGGGTACCGTAATCGTGTGTGTGTGTGTGTGTGTATATATATATATATATATATTTTGCTAGATTGTGTATAATTCAATAAAGTTGGCCATGTGAAAGGCTTATTTGTTTTCTTGGTTGGATTCCATGAAGTTCATTGCATTTTGCTGATTTGATGCTGGACTTTTCACTACTAACTTATCTTTACAATGGCTTGACGTCCGTACCAGGTTTATTTGAAATCCGTCCTGTGGTACATGATTCAAAGAAAGTGTAGGTGGCGTCATAAGCCTGCCACAACTCGGGAAAATGATTAAAAGAGATATAAACTGTGTTCCGCCCTGCTGCTAAAGTAGCGGAAGAAATTGCGAAGTGAATTTACCCACCTCCGCACTTAGAGAGATGGAAACCCGCTCGCGTTGCTATGGCAGACGGGACTGCCGCCTCATCGATCGCTTCCCTGCCGACGAGATCTAATACGCATCAGACCAGGAATAAGAGACGTCGCCCTCTTTTGCTTTCAAAGAGGACGTACAAATATAGTCCCGCATGGTAGTAATAAGCGTTCTGCTCAGAGATGAGACTTTTGGGTCAGAATTTATTTCCGTATAGTTAGGAATACGACGAAGTCAGAAACACTGTGACCCACGATTTGTGTTGATTTGCGGCTTGATGTGTGACCCTGGATAGTACCATCGCGGGCTCGTTAACAGCAATGCACTTACACGTATATATAAAATGTGCTGAATTTAATGATCATAGCGACTGTCAGCTTCTCAAGAACCCCCTTCCGCAGAATTAGTTATGCTGAATCTTCGAACAGACATTAATCTAGCAATTCAGTAGCCATCGCCGCTTTGTTTGCCGGCATTTTCCATGGAGATTACTTTCTCTGAATGCAAGCGCGAACTCCTGGTATCTTTCTAACCTGTCAAGCCACTGGATACTTTGCAGGACACGCCCCATATACACACAGTACTTAATGAGGGAAAGCACGGATCGTCATATAAGTGCGGAAAAGGATTAACATTTCTTACACTACGTTGGTTTGCTGTGTTCTCGATCAAAGACAGCCTAGACCAGGAGAAAGAATTTGCAGTTCGTAGTGGGACAGGTTTTGAGAGAATGAGGTTCCGTCTCTACGTACGTACAGTATAGTCGGCGCAGTAGTTTTTGGCCGGTGGAGAAGCTGGCGGACGGGCCTAGTCTGTGTACCTGACGTGGCACAGTCAGCGTATTTCTTTTGTTTGGGCGTTCAGTCCGATAAGCTCCTCCGTGCAGTCAGCATTATACCATCGCACAAGTGACTCGCTCCCAGCCTCCCCCTTGAAAATTCCACCGGCCAAAAACTACTGCGCCGACTATACATACACACACATTGACCATTCCCGCTATTAACAAAGGCAGCACGAACCGCTAAACAATGGGTGGTAGCCTTCGTCTGTCATTTTAACGGAAGGCATGTTTGTTTTAGGGCATGTCATTTTCTACTTGTAGCTATCAGTGTCGTCCAGATAAAGTGTAGCAATAGATTGCAGGCAATGCGTAAGTAAAATAAACTGATTTTCGCCTAAGTTTCTTCGGTACTTCATCCGAAACTATTGAAAGAACGGCAATCGATTCAGATGGCTTTGATGTTGTATTACAAACATATCAATAAATTCAGTGTATAGTCTATATATGTTGAAAGTCACGTAATCTGTTTATTATAAAGAAAAAGTTTCCCTAAAAGATTACGACAGTTTTCTTGGACAAATTCAGTCTCTAAACTGCACATGTGTTCATAATGTCTTCTTTCAAGTATTGTCAGTACAATATAACGCAGCGCGCGAATGTGTTTGTGGGGTCGAGTCTTCTTATGCATCCACCATGTTGTTTTACACAAAACAATTAGTATTCCAGAGTTGTGTATTTTTCGAAAATGTTACTATAGATCATTGTATGACCCTGTTGTTAAGTGACACTGGTGTATATTCTGCCTCACAAGTTTTCTCTTGTGCTATGTTGTTATTACCGATTGCAGGAAATTAAAAGGTACCATTTTAGGTATACTCCAGTAGCATAATGTTTATACCAAATTTCATCCAAATCTGTGTAGCAGTTTTCCTTGAATTTTGCAGCTTGTTTCATGCACATTGTCCCAGTATTTGTCTGGCTGGTGTATTTCATTTCTTTTCTTATCTCCATCTGCTGCTGAGATTGTAAGTCTTCAAGGATGGAAGACTATATAAAGGGTACAAAAGGAAAAGAAATGAGGTGGGGGATTAGGGTACAAAAGAAAGAAGAGGGGCTGGAATATCCAGAAGAGAGAGAGTGAGAAACGAAAGGATTAGAGAAATTATGAGGATGGGTCGAGATAGAATTGAGGAGATAGAGAAAAGACAACTGATTTGGTACGGACACATGCAAAGGATGGAGGAGGAAAGGTTACCAAAGAAGACTATGAAATGGCAACCAAAAGAGAGAAGGAAGAGAGGGAGACCGAGACCAGGATGGAACGACAGAATTATAAGAACCATGATAGAGTGGAAACTACCTCCGGAAGGTTGGGAAAATAGAGAAGAAGGAAGAAAATATTAGGCACCGGAAGACCGAAGTAAGGTCAAGAAACGGAAGAAGAAGAAATCCCCCATAAATTTCAATTGGATTTTTCTCTAGTTACTGTAAAAATTTCAGTTGTGTGATAATCAGGAGTGTTTTAATAAGTATACAGCATAATGGGCACCAGTTTATATGTAATAAATGTCAGGTGATGCTTTGAATTCACAGCCCTAAAAATGTAGAACAATGCATAATAATCTTACCTAAGGAGAAATTATGGATACTTTAACATTAATTTTCTTGCGTGAATTTTATGCAATATTATCTTGACTGGGATGCTGATTATGGTGGTTTTGACAATATTTTGGATTGTAAAGTTAAGTAACAAGAGCCTGTATGGTGCGCATTATCTTCAGTTTCTCGTTTGTGTGTAATAATTCCAGTCAAATTCAGAAATTGTTATAATGGGGGACTAAAATTGGATTGTTTAAATCTTGGATTGGTAGCGGCAGGCTTGTAAAATACTTTATTATCTGCTCCCTCTATTCTAGATAGAAGTGGGGCAGAGACTTCTGGGTAGTGCTATCTATCATATTTACACAAAAGGGTTTAGTCTTGTCACTGGAGAGATTAAAGTAGTCAAGAAGGCTATGCACAGTTTTCCTCCTCCTCCTTCTTCTTATTCTTCTTCTATGGCTCTCTGGTCTGTATTCGGTCCATGGCCTCCTCAATTCTCCTCTTCCATTCGGTCCTCTGTTAGGTCCGTCTGTCCGAGGCTTTGATTGAGGTTTCGAAACATCTTCCTTTTTACGGTGCAAGGTTGTTAGCATTGCAACCAACCCCCAACCTGGAGGACCAGGGTACCTGTCTTAGTCTGACCTCTCCCCCTCAACCAATCTGGCTAGGGAGGCCCTACCAGTAGCTATGCTACCACCAGCATAGCTCTTACAGTTTTCCTTATCATTACAGAAATGTTGATTCTTAGAAATTGTTTTCATTCTAGGTTCTTATGCCTCTCAAATTGTACTTGCCTTCCTCTGCCACAGCTGTGATGTATTTTCCTGTTTGAAGTTTCTCATGCTTTGTTAAGATTCTTGAGCGCATATATTGGGGACAGCTTTGTAGTTATGGCAGTGACTTTGCCTTCTAGCATTTAGTAATAAAGGAAGATACTTGCCGAAACACTATTAAAACCTGACAAACGATCTAAGGAAGAAATTTTTAATGTTGGTCTCCCATAACTGATGAGTTATAAGCCTTAATTTTGTAGCAACTCCCTAAGTGTAGTTTTAAAGTTTGCTTTAAATGTTGTGTTACTGTGGCTGGAAGTCCCGGAGCGGATGTTGCGAACATCAACATTTATGACTTTAATATGCTCCTGGAGGTAACACCAATTTGTTGTCTTGTTTGTAATAATTTAATACAATTTCAGCTGTAGTGGAAGACTCACAGAAGGCGTACCAGGACGCATTCGAAATTAGCAAGGCTAAAATGCAGCCCACTCACCCAATCAGGCTTGGCCTGGCACTAAACTTCTCCGTCTTCTATTATGAAATCCTCAATTCGCCAGACAAAGCATGTCAGTTGGCGAAACAGGTTGGTTGCTTGGTCTATTTGTATTAAGAACTAGTACCACTTTCAGAACAGCTGTGACTCAGTTGCAATGCTTCAGTCTCTGAACATTTATCCTCAGCAGTTCATTATTTCGTTGAATTGCGTAAAATAATAGCAGCGGACTGGGGACTTGAACTGTGTCACATCTGTCTTGAACGTGTATTGATAACAATCACCGGTTTTCTATTTAGGACCACTGTGCCGAAGCAATGCTGGTTGAAAGGAACGAATGGCACGCCTCCAGTACACCCACCCTAACAGTTCAAAACCTAGACTGCTCAACTAATATTACAATATTTTAAATTTGTTTTGCTTTGCCAGCGGTAGTGGAGGATTCACAGAAAGCTTACCAGGAAGCCTTCGACATAGCAAAGTCAAAAATGCAGCCAACACACCCAATCCGTTTGGGTTTAGCCCTCAATTTCTCAGTTTTCTATTATGAGATTATCAATTCACCTGCAAGAGCTTGCCATCTTGCAAAACAGGTAGGACCAGCCATGGTCAGTATTGGCCTTGAAGTTAGAGTGTTACATTTGTGTGTTTGTCTCAACCACTTTAAAAGTTTTTACTGTGACTGATCAGTAAAATAGAGAAACTGGATTGTGAATGTTAACGTGATGGTAAAGTTATGGATTGGGAAACTCGTAGTTGGGTGAATAACGCAGTTAAAGAACCTGACTGAAGAATGAACTTCTTGTGTGTTCCTGATATGATTGGGGAGGTATCCTGAAGGAAGAAGAGAAATTGGGTATGCTTTTTCCTTTTCTGCCTGAGGTGCATTAGTTTTAAATGCTAAATTTCCTTATAGATTGCTTTATGTATGCCCATTTTAAAGTAGGCAGATCTAAAACTTGTGAAATTTCAGCCAAAAAATTGTAAAGGTACTTTCCTTTCTTCAGGGTTACTGATAAATGCCCAAGTTGTGGACTACATTAATGAAACTCCTTTTGTTTTATTTTTGGAAGTTGGCATTATTATTTTCAAATTGTGGGTTTATTTTTCCAGATCACATTTTATTTATAAGAGTTTTAAGAATAGATATCTGGTTTTTATGAACTTCAGAAGATCTGTTAGAAATTATTCTCTATTTTACTAAACAAGCTGGAACCTTGCATTTATTAAATTTTAATGTACGTAACAAGTAACCATAGCATGTAATTTCCTGTTATGACTGCTAACAGCATTTTGGTGTGGTAGATTCTGTTTTGTTTAGACTTCAGACTAACGGGTATCCGTGAATTGTCTTCACCTGGAGAATAAATATTAGTAATATATTTTTTCAATGGGAATAAAATTAAAACTGTTTGTGTTAGGAAGAAGTAATTTTGAAAAATTTGAAAATATGATAAGCCCACTTTAATCCATATATATTCATACAAACTTGCACCCTGACGTCACCTTTGAAACAGTTACGACAGTATACATATTTAAACTGTCAATGGTATATAAGTCATATTTGATTAGTAAACACTGAACATTGTGCTCAGTTGGTTTAGCCTCCTGCTTCAAATTCTTCAAGGGGTCCTGGATTCAATTCTCAGCCCAGGGATGGGCTATCTGCCTTCAGGTTACCACTCCCAAGTTTAGTTTCCATTTGAATAGTTTAATTAGGGTGTTATTTGATTCTGACACATTCTGTCTTGTTTACCAGTTTTTCAGTAAGAAACTAAAATGTGGTGATTTAGTATGCATTTTTGAAATGAGCTTTGCAATTGTAATTTGTGGTAATTTACAGGCTTGGCCGTTTGCTAATGCTGTGTGTTACACTGAAATATGCACTGTGTAATATCTTTGGGATTGGTTTGAATTAAATTTCATGAATATGAATAATACCACAGACAAATGTAACACTCTACAGCTGTCCTAACTGACTTTAATAAAGGTTCATGCTACAATTGTGATACTTCTTGGTGGCAAATGAAGGATGTTTTATTATGGGTAAGATTGACCAGTCATTGTTGGCACCTGTGGTCCTACTAACATAGTACATTACCATTCACTGACAGCTTCCATTACAGTAGATATGCCATGTTTGCAAAAATAATACATTGTATTCCTGTGTGTTAATACTAAAAATATGAAGATTTCTGTCTTCTGGGTTGTTGCGCTGTGTAGTCTGGTCGATGCTAACCAACGTTTCAGAGGTCATACTGCCGCTGTCATCAGGCATATTCATCGCCTCTGAAATGTTGGTTAATATCGACCAGACTACACAGCGCAACAACCCAGAAGATAGAAATCTTCATACTCACCGCTGTGAAAACCTCAGATCTTACATACTAAAAATATGTTATTTTAAGTCAATTTTGTTTGATTTGTCAGGTTATCTTTGGATGTAGTGTGTTAAGTAGTTATCAGGTTGAAGCACATGGGGAGTGCAATGTCTTGCTCTTGCATTAAGTTCTCTTGGTCCCTGTTTACATGAGTCTTTTTCACATGACTTGGAGTTTGTGCAGAATTACTATCAACGAGCATCGCTTAGTGAGCCGCAGGATAAATTACTATCCTATTTTCATGCATAAAGCACTGTGCAGCGAAACTCTGGCAGACCCATAAGTAGCCATATGATTGTGGTTTGAACAGAATCTCTGTAAAAATGCTCACTTATTAGCTCCACCATCATACCTATTGATTATTTTGACGCGTAAATACGCAGGAAATTTGTGGGAAGTCAAATGAAATGGTTTGTGAAAATAGGGACTTTGGCAGAATGTTTTGCTTTCAACTTTGCTCTCACATCTCATGGTCTTAAGTGGGAAGTAATTAAAGTCTCTGAACATGTGTTCTTTGTTATGCATGTGCACATGGACTTTGAATCAATCCAACTTCACCACATATTCTTACAAGTGCACAGATTATACACCTTGGACTGTAATAGTATATTGTGTTTTTTCAACCTATTTTACTGCTCTTTGTGACTTTTTGTTGTAGTATTTTGGAGAGTAAATGGAAGCTGTTATTGAATAGTGTGTTGATGTGTTGTTGCTTGCACACTGAACCCTGCCTCACAGTTGAATAATCTGACTGTCAGGTTTCTTGAATGTGCAGAAAGGATAGTGGTGGTAACAACAACTTCTTTGCTTGCCAGGGAAGTTCGCAGTATCACCTACATCACCACTTCTGTATCCGTGTGTTGAACACTTGCACTTCATGCAATATGAAGTGAATTGTTCTAGCAGAATATCTTCGGCTAAAGGGTTTTGATGACAATGTTACATTTGGGATTACTAAATTCTTGGATTTCGTCCATTGTCTGGTATTCAAAAGAACGCGACATTTCGGAAAAGATCTGGTTTCCAAAACGTGTTCTTTTGAATACCAGATGATGAACAAAGTCCAAGACTTTAGTAATCCTGATTTGGCCCCAAGTTAAGCAAGATATAAATGTTGAACCTTGAAGTCTAGGATTATAATGAAATTTGGCAAACATGTTGATCCCATTACCATCCATATTTGTCTTCTGTTTTAATAATTTTTTATATTTATGCTGATTTTCAGTACAGGGTGTTAAAAAATTACCCACACTGGAGAAAAAAGTGCATGTTTGTCTTTGATGATGCTCTTAGAGAAATGTTCTAGATCCATTTGAAAAGTTTATGAAATTTTCTTTCTAACAAATGTCATCCACATACTCCTCTTAGTGTGTGCAAAGAAATTATGCTGAGACCAAAAGAATTTTGGAAGTTGCACATGTTTATTTTTACGTACAAGTAACTGAGTGGCCACTTCATATAAAACTTTATACAATACATCAGAATGTTTATATTGATGGCCATTAAAGTAAAACTGAAAGATCAGACAAACAGCAGACTGTATCTTGTGAATGAATTTTGAAAATATATCTTATTTATGATTTAATTTCCCTGTGTTTATATATATATACACACACACACACACAAAACCTGTGCTTATGAGTGAAACTTTGCCTCACTCTGTTCTTAGGCTTTCGATGATGCCATTGCGGAACTTGACACATTGAATGAAGACAGCTATAAGGACTCTACGCTCATCATGCAACTCTTGAGGGACAACCTCACACTCTGGACCTCTGACACACAAGGGGATGGAGATGAACCTCAAGAGGGCGGTGATAACTGATCTGGTCCTCTCGAACTCCCGAATCCCGTTTAACATAATTATGTAAAACAAACAAAAAAAAAATTGCCTTTTTTCCTCCATTTCTCAATACCTTCCCTACCTTTCCCCTCTTGTTTCCATCCCTCCCTCTCACTTTCTCGGTCAAGTCGGTATATATATTATAATTATTATAAGAAAACAATAAATTCACATACACATCTACACACGCAAACACATTTAAAGTAAACTTACGAGTCTGCATATTGAATGATGTTCCACGTTTTCAAAAATTAAACTGAACAGTGAACAAAGGCTAGCATTTCTTGTAAAGGCTGCCCTTTCTCTTTTTCTAAAAGAAACGCTACCTAAATCAGCATGCAGTGTTTTGTTTTTCTTTAATGGTAACCAGGAGTCGTATGTTCGTAGTGCGATAATGGTATTAAAGAAAGTATCGCATATTGCATAAATAACATCATGGTTAATTAGTTTCAGTAGTCTGCATTGTCAAGGATAACTTGGAAATCAAGTGGGTTATAGCATGTTGGTTTTTCTGTTAAAAGTGTAATTTATTCTCATTTCTAAATTATGCCAAGAATTTAGTAGGGAGTATTGAAATTTAACATTTCTGTAGAAATGAGTGCTTGTGCTGGAAATAAAGTCTCAGTTAACTGGAAGACCAAATACCCATGGAATACTACCACTACGTACTACAAGTGAAGTGCAGTTGTAAAAGTTGTGTGTAATTTTGTCTTCATTGTCAAATTTGTCGTTGCATTTTTTTCTCTATCCCGTGCTGTAAGGAAAAGAAGTTGCCAGATGTTTTATTATTGCCTTGAAAAGCCGTTAAAAGCCAAATTATTGAAATCGATGTGCAAAATAAACAACATGTAAGGAAATTTTGGAGCCTGTTATTTATATTAGAACTAATTGTGAACCGTAATTATTATTTTTTTAGACACTGTTGAGTAAATACTAAATAATGTTTAAAGTAATAGAATTTTGCTAATCCTTATACATCTGCCATATTACCTCCCCAAACTGTCACACATTTCTGGTAAATGTTGGTATATATTTAATTTGTTCAACTGTCAAGATTTTAATAAATTAATTGGAAATGTCTCACATTTTCAAGTTTCCGTGTTTCCATTGCTTGTTGTTTTATGTAAGATAATATTGTGCCCAGGACGTGTTGATTTTGGTGTTCAACTTTCTTTCTGGCTGCTCCATCTTCACTTATTCAGTTTTACAAAGGGAGAGGGATTTTATCATAGCTATTTGAATATTTATTTAAAAAACCCAATTGTGGTTCCTAGTCTAATGCTGCTATTAAAAACATACATAGCTTTTCCAGATTTGCTCAAAATTACTTGTGGGTCATAAATCATATGACAGTATGACATCAGTTTTAATGGCAACATTTTTCCTCGTTCCTTTTCTTCCAAAGCAGCTCACAAGATTGTACAAGAAGTATGGTATGTTTTTTTCTCTCTCTGTGATGGGTACTTTTTTATGTATCAAAAATCCAAAGGGGAATGGCTGCGCCATGCAATTTCTTACTGGTGGGAAGTAATATTAATTTATGGTACCAGAGGCAAGTTACATGAATGGCAAGTGATAGTTAGTACTGTATGCTTGTACAAGTTTAGAAAACTGTATCTATTTACCAGTAAAAACAAGATGCTTTCCACTTAAAGGATTCTTTGTAAACTTTTGAATCACATATAAGCTTCAGAATGAAAACTCCTAGCACCATACACTACGTTGAATTAAAAACTGTCCATCTACTCCCATATCCCAGTATAGTATACCTTTTTGGCTTTCACATGTATATTGTAAATTGTAGATGTGGAATGACTCGGCAGTTCTTGTAGAGCTGTGGAGATAAAACTGTTCGAGTATCCCAAGAAAATATAAGCTAAGTGCTGAGTAGCTTAGTTATTTAAACAAAATTTGTTTGCCATTTACAGAATCCTGCTTAATATTTGGTGTGGAATATGCTGTGTTGTGGTTATTCTTTCTTTTTTGTATACGGTATATGTGCCTTTTACCTGTAAGGCCTAAAGTATTGTGAAGTTCAACTTACAAATTTAGGTTGCAAACTTATTTTTTTATGTCAGAAACAGTGTTTGTGTGTCACAGATAACAGTGTTTATTTGGAAATGAAATGGGCCATTTTTGTGTCCAAACTTTGTATGTGAAACTGTCACATATAAGCCTCATCTTGCACATTAATTCTTTCCCATTGCTTTCGAATTGTTCTGCTTCACTGCTAAATTCCTCAAATTTATACATGTACCGGCTACTGTTCCCCAAATTCTCAGTATTTAGATTATTTCTATAGCCTCTTTTGTATCATAATATACTTCTAAATTAACCTAGTTTAAATTTCAAAATTACTATCCTCTCCCACCCCTCCATAATGCATATGTGTAACATTATTAATGCTAAACGTAGTAATTTTATGTTTATACTTCGTAATTAATGCGTTTCAAAGAGGTGGTGTTTGTAAATAAAATTGTAAAATTAATATAGAAGACTTCTTTAAAAAGATAAATTCCTGAACAATCCTCCACTTCATTCTTGGCAATATTTTTTTGAAATTGGAAATCTATTTTGTGTTTGGATTTAATTTGCAAATGTTTTGTAATGGTCTTCATCATGGAAGACATGAACTAGACTGTACCAATCCTTGGCTGTGAGAGGTTACGTTCTTTCTTGTGTTTTTGTCGTGTATTCAGCACTGGCCTTGTTTTATAAGCTTTATTTATGGTAATGTGAAAGTTCATATTCTTAGATCATATGGGTTCACCATTTTGTGAGTGAAGTGCTGTTCTCTGTGCAAACCATTATCAGTGAGCAGCGTTTAAATTTTGTCTGCACCATTTCATGGATGTGGAGACTGTGGCTGGTATTAAATATACAGAGTTTGCAGGAAATGTCTAGTTCCTCCTCATGTTTGTAGAGCTGCTGAACATGTGAAGGAATGAAAATTTTCCCATCATAACAGTAAGGTCTGAAGTGTAACTGAGGAGTAATTTTGGTAGGTTAGGTTTGAAATGGGTAGATCCATGGTGCATGCATTTACATAGGTATTATTCTCCTCCCTCCCACCCTCTTTGTAACTCAGTAGTAAAAAGTAAGAGTTATCCTTAGAACTGGAAATTAAATCATATGAATACACCATTGTAGAGTAAACACCAGGATTTCACTAATTCATACCAAGAGGTCAAGGAATGGGCTTTAGATTCATATACTCACCTTGAAGAAATGGGAAGAGGAATTGAATGTGTGTAAATAAAAACATGTAATGTTTAATTCGCTGGGTAATACATATGTATAGTCTAAGTTTTAAAATGTGACTCAGGTATAGTATCATCGTCGAGGTGTTTCCTTCTATTTTATGCATTGTGTGCTTTTTTTAATTCTAAAAGTAACATTTCAAAGACTGCCAGAATCTGAAATGGAAATTCTTTTGTAATTTTTTAGTGTTGACAATGAATGCCAAAGGAAAAGGCCCAGTGATACTTCAATTGTTTGGTGATAAATTCAGTATGCTGAGGTTGGGATTCTTTACAGGAACTTTGAAGTCCATGGTAACATCACATTTATTTAATCTAAAACTTCTTGACGATGGTGAAGAGTCAATTGAATAAAAATTTACTTGGATATTATCCATCATCTAGTAATAAAACGTAAAACGACGTTTTGGAGATGGGGCTCTATCTCCGTCTTCAGGCTCATACTCAGTTGGGCCCACTAGATAGAGCTAATCCCTATCTCCGGACAAATTAAAAAGTGAAAGTCCCAGAATAAAAAGGCATTACCACACCATCCATCCGTGGGACGTAAAAGAATAGTATGTAGAAAACAAAATTCATAAACACGAATAAAGCCAGAAGACAAAAAACTCGCAAAAGGTGGGAATAAATACACATGAATATTAACTTGAAACTTGATGCCCACCTTGGATTTCTTGAGAGATGACAGGTATCCAAATAGGAGATAAATCCAAACTAGGCTGGCTGATAGGATTGGCGAGTAGTGCCATGTGTGCAGCCTCCTTGTATTTTCTGTAGATGGTATTGGGTTCAGTTAATAATACTCTGGCCCCATCCCAACAGACATGATGATCTTCTTCGTACGCATGTTGGGCCAATCTGGATTTCTCCAGCAGGCCCTGTCTGAAATTATATTTGTGAATATACATTCTTCATTTTAAGCAGAATTCTATGTTTCTCTTGCCACAACTCTCTTCAGTTCAGCTTTCACCGAATTATTATTATTCCGTGCCCTGAGAAATAATGTGTATATCCTGGACTCCACTGTTTTTATTCTCTCTTTGCAATTTGTTAGCTCTCTGTCTTTAATCAGTTATTAGTTATTGCAAAGGATCAGTGCATGTCTACAAACCTCATGTGTGACATCCGTCTGAAAATTCTAGTTCTTAAGCTTACTGGGTCTGGCAAATAACTGGACTGGTGTGTTTGTGCACTAGCTGGCAGCACTAACAAGTTATATGTTGGATAAAATGATTCTTCATTTCTGTGTTGAGACAGGTTCCAGTTTTTTCTGTCTGTTTTCCCAGAAATTGTTAATCTGTTACGATTTTCCTCCATGAAATGAAATTACTCCAATTATCAGAGGAAGTGTAAGAACCTAATCTCCAAATTCATGAGAGGTTCTGCCACATTTTGCATTAGCTTTATTGATGCTGTATAGTCAAGCTGCTAATAGCATCATTAAGTAGCAGATAAAATTCCCATTAGCTTTATCGATAATATATTATTTAGTTCTGGAAATCTTGATTTGTTGTGCAAGTACAAGGCAGTGATAAACTGATGCATTGGAGAACTCTCGCCCCATAGTCCATCATGTCTGCTTTTGTTTGTGTGTATATATATTTCATTTTTGATTAAACTTGTTGCCAAAGAGTTTTCAGATGACAAAGCAAGTAATGGTATTTTAAAACTCACCAAGTAATTTAGCTGTTGCTTATGAAGTAGACTTACCTTTGGAAAACTATATGGAAAGCAGTCATGACCTCAGCATTTGCTTGGGTGAAGTGAGTTAAAGTAAGAAAAACCTTGGGGCTTCCAGTCTCTGTGACTTGGGACAACTTTTCCAGCAGCAGATTTGCATCTGCAATAAATAACATCAAGGATATCCAGAACTGTAAAGAATGCATTTGGAAAATGGGTGTGCTGTGGGACAGGTGGTCGCAGACACTGTCACCAGGGTTTAAGAGTGCTGTACTTAATAACGCATAAGTCAATGACTATCACCCCCGTGGAACTGGGCCACAGGCTGGACAACCAGGGTTTGATTCCTGACAACATAGGACTCGTCGCTCAGATTGGCATTGGGGCCCACCGAATATCCTATCCAATGAGTACTCGTGGTTCTTTCCTTTGGATAAAGTGAGCGGAATGTGAAGCTGATATGTGGTGATCATCTTCCCCTGAGCTTTGTTAATGTTGTGAGTCTACCCAGTTCTGCCCAACCATTTTCACCCCAGGTGTGCTTTAAGTAGAATATAATTGTAATGGGTCTTTCCACTATGGTTGCTTGCAGAAAATAAGGCCAAGATATTGAAATAGACGTACAACGTGACGTGTGAAGTCAATTTGTTTTCAGCAGCCTTGAGATGTAATTCTTTGATTTAAGGTTAGCAACTTAGATACGACTGATACATATTACGTAGTCTGTGTGGTATATTGATCGTTGATGTGGAACCTGGATATTCGCCCCTGGGAATAGATCCCAAAATAACACCAGCTTTTTGACTTCTCACGTCCTTTGTTACATTTGACACTGTACCATGGAAAATAGTTGTGATTTTATCTGCGAGAGACTGAATCGTTGCTAATGCCTTTACACAAATTGAATTTCAAAAACGATTTCTTTTAGCAGATTTTGTATGTAAGCGTTACATTTAATTCACCGAATGACGTGATTCCATCCGTCCTATTCGGGGCGGTCCCACGTTCTATTCTCGGACCGGACATCAGCAATTGTAACACTTATTTTGGTATATTATGATTTTTCATAGTTTAGGAAAATTGTGTGTTAATGCTGTTAAACAGGACAAAACCGTTTTCTTCCGTACCCTTTGAATTGATTTATAATCATTCGATTCAGTATGACCCTTGCGGCTAACCAAAGATCGATAAGAGAATTAATTGTATTTAATACATCTGTTATATTAAATGTCATTCCAAATTTCTTTGTTGCTCAAATTTTATCGTAAAGCTTATAGATGAATGCATTTATTTATCAAGATATATAGGTCTTTTGAAAAATTAAATCTGAAGACAGTGGCCTTAGAAATTATGCGTCAATACGTCACTTTAAAAATAAAAATACATGTACCCGCAAGCTGTAAAACAGTAAATATAAATTTTAGGGAGAAAGTTGTCTACTGCGAGAAATATGAAATTGGAGTAAAAGAATAGATAGAAATCTGTGGTGTAGCATGTAGACGAATTGACATTTTTATAGTCAAAATTTCTCACAGCAATTCTGTAACTATTTTGGCACTGTTTTGCTATTTAAGGAAGAGAGTAGGCGTATGAGGTCTCAATTTTTTTAACCGATTGGAACGAAATTTGATGTGGACAATAGGCTGTGCGATTGGAGGCCGCTCAAACCTCGCACTTTTTAATTTTCTGCGGTCAACAAAGCAAATGCCCGATCTAGTGAAAGGGAAGTGCCATTAACACCATGTAATATAGCTGAATGAGCTCTTAAGAGTATTTATTCTGCGCACATTTGAACAGCTTTTACCTCCATTTTTAGAAACGTAATTATTTGCTTTTTAATGTACATATTATGTGACTTACTAGTACTTCTGCATTGGAAAATTCCAGAGAATCTTGAAGTCCTCTTGTGATAGTTTCTTATGTTATTTATTTGTTTACTTACAATAAAATCTTAATTGATATAATTACAAATTAAATGAATTGGTGTGTTGCTTGTATCATTAGACGTTTACTGTGCCGATAACAAAGAATTCGGATAGTTGGCCAAAAATTAATAAGGGGTTCGCCACCAACCCCTCTGAGTACCTGTAGTACACATCTAATACGTTACTTGGTTGCTGTGTTTGAATATAATAAAACTACATCATGGATCACGTGCTATAAGTATGTATAGTACTTATGAAATTACGGCGTTAATACATTTCATTTGCTACAACGCGCATGTCCTGTTGTGTTTCATTGTTCACTGTCAAACAAAAATCTAAATTGACGCTTGTGTAACCAGTGACACCAGAAAACACACATTTCTGTAAAAATTTGTAATCAGGCACTTATGTTCATGCCATCATTCAGTCTTATTTCATAGAAGGCAGTCAGTTGTTGCGCGTTCAGGCAAATATTCATAATATTCTGTGTTAATTTCTTAGTTTGATGGTTATGACAGTGACCATGACGAACCACAATCAGTGCAGAACGATTTAAAGGTCACCTTGACAAGTATATCGGCAGGTTTAAATTGGAGTTTTTTGGTTGTTCAGTCAAACAGTTTAAAGGTAAGCGTCATGTGTACAGATCACCATATAACTTTAGGGTTAAACAGAATATTATCAAATTTACATGCAGATAAACAAAATACATGTTTATGTACGTAATAATGTTTGTTTCAAGAAAGGTGCATTCCGAGTAACTTTTAGATTGTTCTTTCGTTAATCAGGGTCCTCGGAAAAACTGTACATTTGGTAAATATGATGAATGAAATATATCGTGATTACGTATGTTGCATGTGGTTACCACTGCTCACGAGAGATACATTTGATCCAATAGTGTTTTGATAAGCGATATAATATGATTTGTTGATTTCAGAAATCATACCATTATGTCTATATCAAGGGAGGATGCTCCTAATTCATCTCCACCAATATATAACAGATTCATTGAGAGAGGGTCTCATAAAGGAAAAGGGTTAGCTGTCTTTACAAGTGGTGGTGATTCACAAGGTACGGCAATAAACCTTATACTTATGACTAAGTATCAGACAGCCAAACCAGAAACTTTGTACTTCAAGATTTAAAGTGAACATATCTTGGTGTAAGTAATACAGACTATGAAATATCAGGAATATGTACACACATTCATTCATTAACTCCATGGATCCAGAAGTTGGTCACAATAGTAGCAGGGTGTGGAATAAGTAATAAAAATACAAAACAAACTGATACATTTGAAAATATTATAGCGTTCACCTAAAATAAAGGTTTCACACTATCAATGAGAATTTCCTGCTAAATCCATACATATGCAATAGATAAAGACATGAGTCAGTTTTAAACATTTGGAATTCTTGAACAGAGTAAAAGGCTTGTATATTTAAGTCTTGTTTAATACTACTTTAAATTGTATGAATGTATGTATTGTGACTTCTTATTCATAAGATTTTTGAGACCTGATGGTAGACGTGAGTATTCTACCCAATGTTAAATTGTAATAATTGGTGCAAAACCCATTTTCCTGGGTTGGGTAATTTGTGGAGTGAGAAGTCATTAATTGATATTTGGTGATTGTATATCAAGAAACATTAGTTATTAATAAGTTTCTTGTTTTGTAATGTATTTCAAGCAATATTGTTATTGAAAATAATTTGTATCTTTTGATAATAGATCAGCATTTCATATCAGAAACAGTGATGCTCTCAAATCAATTCATTTTGCCTATTTTCATTCCACAATAAAATATGGAATAATTTTTTGGTATAATTCAGTGAACAATAAAATGATGTTTACTTGACAAAAGAGAATTGTCATAATTATGGTTGGTGCTAAGCCTAGAAATTGTAGAAGTCTTTATGGGATTAGAGATTTTGTCTCTTCCGTGTGAATGCATATTTCCATTAATGAACTTACTTCTAAATAGCCAAGAGAATTTTCAAACAAATTAAGATATACACAAAGTTAATACAGGGAATGGAGTCCATCTTCATAGATGAACTGCCAACCTTTCATGTTTTCAGAAAGTGCATACTCTTCTGGCATCAGGAAGAAAGTGGTCACTGATAACAGTATCAGTTGGGCAGGTTTTAAACTCTGCACATGCCTCATTCAGTAGTTTAAAAAAAAAGTGTTTCTTGCACATTGTGTCATTGGTAATTGTTGCAGGTATGAATGCAGCTGTCAGGGCTGTGGTGCGGATGGGAATATACTTAGGCTGCAAGGTTTTTTTCATCAAAGAGGGCTACCAGGGCATGGTGGATGGTGGACAGCACATTGTTGAAGCTACCTGGTCTTCTGTTTCCTCCATTATACACAAGGTGCAATTTCTGTCAGAAAACTGTGTCGATAGATATCAGTTATTGATAGTTTCATTGTTGATAATGATTGTAATAATAATAATAATTCTTACTCAACACTGTGATTGTTGCTAAGAAATTTTGAAATGGAGAATTTGAAGAGGAAGAACAAAATTTTCACCATGTAATTATTTTTCAAATGGAAAACACATCTTAATTTTGTTAGTGTATCCCTTTTCAGGGTGGTACAGTAATTGGATCAGCACGTTGCATGGAGTTCAGAGAACGTGCTGGTCGTCTGAAGGCTGCAAAGAATTTGGTGGCCCGAGGTATAACAAACATGGTAGTGATTGGTGGTGATGGGTCATTGACAGGTGCCAACTTATTTCGTACAGAATGGTCAAGTCTGCTTGAAGAACTTGTGCGGACTGGTGAGTACCATGAACTGTCATCATTAAGTTGGAAAGAAAATAGTGGCAACATGTGTGGAGTATGAGTAATATTTTATTGGCATCCAATAGGATTTATAACCTTTAAAATAGCTTTCCCTCTTCCATGTGTTTAATGTGTTCCCATATTTGTGAAAGGTGACATGCTGTCAGCAGAATGTTTTTTTCTTTGTGTCTGCCTGCTTGCTCGGTGTTTTCTCTAGCAATACCATTTCCCTTTGAGAAATTACATTGTCGTCTGGCAGGGATCAAAGTTAAAAGGGCTCAGCACCATCTGACTTACAACAGTGACTGAATAATCGCCACATACTTGCTTGACGAGGCATATCATTGCTCATATTACTTGTTCTTTACTCTGACCTGGTCGTTGAATTTATGACATCCACGGTGTGGCCGTTGAGTGTGGCATGTTTTCTGATAAATGGTAAAACCTGTATGCACTGGTATTATGCATTTCATATAGAGAACTTATCTAAAAGTAGTGACATTTTCTGAGAATTCATGGAGCCTCGTCTCATTCGTTCCTGATATTGTGTTTGTGCACAGGAATGACTTCACTTTATATTTTCAGTACTTATTAGTGGGTTTTGAGTCGTTACTGCCCATGAATTATTTCTTGATATTTTCATCTTTGCCAAGAAGGCTCCATTGGTAACATCACTAACTGATGTGAGGAGATGCTTTTTTTCATATTTCAGCCAGGGCACCATCTCCTTCCTTATTGTGATTTTTGGTGGTTTTCCTCAGTCATGCCAGGAAAATTCTTGGATAGTACCTTGAAGTATGTCACTACTGCTTCCACCTCAGTAATTTCCACTTTGTCTTGTATACCCATCCTCTCTGTGTTTGACTCTAAATATTTCTGTCACTTTGGTTCCACATTGTTGAATAAAATACAAACAAACCTTAATAGTTCACAATATCTTCTTCTTCTTCTTCTTCTATGGCTCTCCGGTCCGTATTCGGTCCATGGCCTTCTCAATTCTCCTCTTCCATTTGGTCCTATCCTCCGCTGCCTTCTTCCAATTTCTAATCATCAGGAGCAGTGTGGCATCCGTTTGAACTGCATCCTCCCATCTGTTCCTGGGTCTTCCAACTTGTCTTCTTCCTCCAACACTTAGTTCACAATATTCAGTCACCAATTTATCCAAAAGTTGTTTGAAGTTAAATTGTAAGGTAAATGTATAATCACTTTCTTTGTTTTTAGGTCAGATAACAAAGGATCAACAGACAAAGTACGCACACCTGCATATTGCAGGAATGGTTGGTTCTATAGACAATGATTTCTGTGGTACAGACATGACCATTGGTACAGACTCTGCTCTGCATCGGATCATCGAGGCAATTGATGCAATAGTTTCTACAGCGTATTCACATCAACGGACATTCATTATGGAGGTTATGGGCAGGCACTGTGGGTAAGTATTAGTGGTAGATAGCCCATATTATTGAAATCTGTGTGGCTGTTATTTTTATTGGTTGAACATTTAATGTTGGGAAACCTGACATTAGATGCAGTGTCTACTATTACTAATGTGCCACTTAGAAGTTGAAACTTATAGGTATGTAGTTTACACCAATCGTAATGAGAATTTGACTCACTTCTAAAATCATTAACTCACCTTTCAGCTACTATATGTGTTTTTATCCAGTGGTTTAGTTACGTAACGGTACTGTTGATACTGCCATTCTTTCCACTCTTAAAATTGTTAATTAGAATTTTTGTATCACCTTAACAGAATCAGATTTCATTTTTGAAGTTTAGGGTTTAGAGAAGTGTATATGTGTGTGTATTTTAGCTTAAATAAATGGAATGTGTGACTTACGGTCTTTTCCTGATTCTTAGAACTTTATTTATAATGTAATTCTGATGTGTTGAATGGTCATAATGACATGACTCAATCATTTAACATTTATCCACAACACCTCTTTTTACACCCAATGTTTGTCGTCTTTTACTTCTACTACAGAATCAAATTTAAACTAAATATATAACTTCTGATGTTGGTTATATAAAATGAAGCAGTTAGGATTGCCAAGAACTGATGACTTTTAAGCTATACTTTAGCTTTAAACTGACAGTGAATAACCAACAGTACAGCTTCACTGTTAACAATAATTTCTTTGTCATTGTTAATACACAAGTACAATATGAGACAGTTCTGCCACATTGGGGTTTATTTCGTTCTTTTAAGTGATGCAATGAAAAAGTGTCATAAAGCTGCAGAACTGGTCTGTATTCATTGTCTTACTCATAAATTCTTTAGATTTTCTTATTATCCTGAGGAGTGCATTGTTTTCATAGTGGGCAGCTGTCTGTCCTGTTTAATTGAAGAGTTGAAACAGAAATTTGTGACATACGTGTATGACTTATTTTAGGTTATATTTTCTTATATTAGTGATTTTTGTAGTAACTTTATTTTCCCATTTAGGTATTTGGCTATTGTCACTGCTTTGACTAGTGAGGCAGATTATGTTTTCGTTCCTGAAATGCCACCCCCTCGGGATTGGCCCACCAAACTTTGTGACAAGTTGGAGCAGGCAAGATATATATGTATATAAAAGTTATGCTCCTGTTTTATGTACTGGTGGCAGTAACTGACAATGAACCCAAATTCAAGTTGCCAGCTCCCTGGGGAACATGCTGGCTGTGCTTGTTACCTACCTCTCCCTCCCAGCTGTTAACCCTTTTGGCATGAATTTGCACGGTGTGTTCATGGTTATGGCAGCACTTTGCTGAACATAGTGACTGACTTGTTGGTATGAGAATGTTGGTGTCTCTTATCAGAGATGATCTTGAGGCTAATGTTCTGTACTTTTTGAAAGGCTTAATTTTACTATTTTTGTATTTTACTACTCACATTTCACCAGGCGACCAGTTTCATATTTCTGTGACTGGTACATGAATTATAATGGATCAGTTTCCAAACTTTGTACAGACTATTGGAATTTTAGTGTACAGTGTGTTTGTGAGGCGTCTGGGTAGGTTTTTCTCCAAGTGTTTTTATTGCCCCCTTTGTAACAATGCTGTGTTCATGTCATCAGCCCTTAGGTATGTGATTATCTTTGGTCTTGGCTGGAATTGAATTAAGAGTGCTCAGATTTTGTTTCTTGTGTGGATTCCTATACTAGTATTTGATCTTCATTTTTTATTGCACTACCATAAGTCTTTCTATATTTATGTTAGTTTTGCTTTTTTTAGCAACAGACATTCATTTTTGAACTTAATCACTACTTTGTAATTTAATTGTGTAACAAAAAGTAACAGACAAGTGATATTATTTGAGCCAAATGTGGCTTTAATTTGACTGAACAAGCTGTTTAAGTATGCGTTTTAGACGTAATGTTGATATCTTTTCTATTCTTAATTTTCATAGGACAGTCACAACTTAAACATTGTTTAGATGGCATTTGTGCACATTTTGATCCTGACAGCAGTATGTTTGAAATGTCTCATAGCAATTATTTAGTCACATTTTCAGCGCAAGAACTTCCAGAACTTTGAATAATACATGTATTTTGAATGAAAGTGAAGTGTGATGTGGTCAAGCTATGGTCTTTGCAGAACTGTAATACACTAACATGAAGTGCTTTGGTGATTTAAAATGCAGATTAGGGTATTTGTGTTTCAGTGATATTTATCCCTGTATAACAAACTTCACATGACACTGTCAGAACTTCAGTTTACAGTTTGTCTATATATTCAGCCAATAGTAATGCATGTTGATGTGAGTTTTGATGTTTTGTAATGATTTTTAATAACGTGTATGGTATTCTAGGTTGTTTTGGAAGAAATATTCTGTGTTTCAGAAATATATGGTTTCTTACAGAAAACATGGTTTTAAAATGCAGATATTTTACAGTTTATGGTTTGTCTGATTTAAGAAAGCAATGATGTGGAAAAATTATGTGTTGGGCAGTTTTCAGTCATCATAGTGATGCACGTAAGGGATTATTTTACAAGGTGGAATAAAAGAGTCATCTAGTGAGTACCATAAAGCCACGTTAAATAAATTACTGCACATCATTTGAAGTGCAGAACTGGTAGAGGGCTTATTAATGATGTTTAGGGTGGCAGGGTAATTTATTGCTCATCCTTTTTATTCAAAATAGTTAGCTCCTTTGTCTGCTAAGATTGGACAGAGTTGCCTTCCAACCCTTTTGGGGTAGGATTTGTTTTTATAACTTAGCACTGCCAGGATTTTTTCCTTCACTTTATATAAATCATATTATCTTGAAATATAGGCATATAATGAAGGTTTTTTATTTGAACTCACGTCAATATGAATGAAGAAAGAATAAAACTTATTACTTTATGCATATCCAGCATATTCATAGCCCTTAAAACATGGAACAGCATCTGTGATAAGGTGGAAATCAAAATACCCATGCCGTCATACATTTAAAACACTTTAGTAACTGAATGTAGCCCAGAATGGTAGAAGATGACAGTGATTTACTTTGCTCTGAATTTCATGGGACAAGAACAGAATTAATGCTAATGTTTATGTTTACTGGCAAGTATTTAAATCATGGCTTCTGACACAGTGCAGTAGGATAAGTAAATAATTGAAAAGCATCAGTTTTAGTCCCACATTAAGTGGATTGAGTTGAAGGCCGTAATTGCCTAATTGAATGACTGTCACCACTTATCTAAGATGTTTTCAGTACCAAATACAGGTTTATATTCAGTTATTTTTCAATGCTGTATTAACTAATGAGGTTATGTTAAATAATGGTACAATGCTTGTGAATGTATGAATTGGGAGAGACATAGAAGGAAGCCTGTTTTAAGTTCCTGATGAGATTATTATTTATGGTGGATTGGAGGTGTGGAGGAAGTGATGTATTTTTAAGCATTTGCTACGGAAATTTCTTTGAACGGTAACCAAACTGAGTTATTAAAGGTGATCCTAGTGGAATTTGAACTGAGTACCTCTGAATAACAAGGCAGACACATTAATAACAGGTTTAATGGTAAATTAACTTTTAATTTGATGTTTGAAAATGTCACTGCTCTTTTATCTAACTTTCAAGAATTTGTTATTCCATCACTGCACACAGACTCTAATTATGATGTATAGTGGTTGGTCAGTTGCGTCTTCTCTTGTTCATTTGCTATGCATGGAGTACTTCTGCTTTTGATTTTGAATGAATAGTCCTACAAAGTCTTTCATATATTGCATTAGAATATGCATTATTTGTTTTTACATTGAAAAATACACATGAAAAACCAGTCTATACTGCTGTTGCCATCTTTGATTTGTGCATGTAACAAATGTTTTACTTTAGATATGTACTGAATTTGATATTGTTTGTTTCAGATTTAGTTTCATTAAAACATTATTTGTAATTAACAGTGGTTGTAATGTAATGATCTTTTAGGTGTAGTTATGCCTGTCAGGATTTTTTAATTGCTAAGATTGTGTTCTTTTAATTTTGAAGGTAAGTCCATAATTAACATGGTAGAAATATTATTGGTAGATGCAAGTTTTGGCACTGTCTATAAATACAAATACCATATTGCTCATCCTTTTTATTCAAAATAGTTAGCTCCTTTGTCTGCTAAGATTGGACAGAGTTGCCTTCCAACCCTTTTGGGGTAGGATTTGTTTTTATAACTTAGCACTGCCAGGATTTTTTCCTTCACTTTATATAAATCATATTATCTTGAAATATAGGCATATAATGAAGGTTTTTTATTTGAACTCACGTCAATATGAATGAAGAAAGAATAAAACTTATTACTTTATGCATATCCAGCATATTCATAGCCCTTAAAACATGGAACAGCATCTGTGATAAGGTGGAAATCAAAATACCCATGCCGTCATACATTTAAAACACTTTAGTAACTGAATGTAGCCCAGAATGGTAGAAGATGACAGTGATTTACTTTGCTCTGAATTTCATGGGACAAGAACAGAATTAATGCTAATGTTTATGTTTACTGGCAAGTATTTAAATCATGGCTTCTGACACAGTGCAGTAGGATAAGTAAATAATTGAAAAGCATCAGTTTTAGTCCCACATTAAGTGGATTGAGTTGAAGGCCGTAATTGCCTAATTGAATGACTGTCACCACTTATCTAAGATGTTTTCAGTACCAAATACAGGTTTATATTCAGTTATTTTTCAATGCTGTATTAACTAATGAGGTTATGTTAAATAATGGTACAATGCTTGTGAATGTATGAATTGGGAGAGACATAGAAGGAAGCCTGTTTTAAGTTCCTGATGAGATTATTATTTATGGTGGATTGGAGGTGTGGAGGAAGTGATGTATTTTTAAGCATTTGCTACGGAAATTTCTTTGAACGGTAACCAAACTGAGTTATTAAAGGTGATCCTAGTGGAATTTGAACTGAGTACCTCTGAATAACAAGGCAGACACATTAATAACAGGTTTAATGGTAAATTAACTTTTAATTTGATGTTTGAAAATGTCACTGCTCTTTTATCTAACTTTCAAGAATTTGTTATTCCATCACTGCACACAGACTCTAATTATGATGTATAGTGGTTGGTCAGTTGCGTCTTCTCTTGTTCATTTGCTATGCATGGAGTACTTCTGCTTTTGATTTTGAATGAATAGTCCTACAAAGTCTTTCATATATTGCATTAGAATATGCATTATTTGTTTTTACATTGAAAAATACACATGAAAAACCAGTCTATACTGCTGTTGCCATCTTTGATTTGTGCATGTAACAAATGTTTTACTTTAGATATGTACTGAATTTGATATTGTTTGTTTCAGATTTAGTTTCATTAAAACATTATTTGTAATTAACAGTGGTTGTAATGTAATGATCTTTTAGGTGTAGTTATGCCTGTCAGGATTTTTTAATTGCTAAGATTGTGTTCTTTTAATTTTGAAGGTAAGTCCATAATTAACATGGTAGAAATATTATTGGTAGATGCAAGTTTTGGCACTGTCTATAAATACAAATACCATATTCTGTTAGAAACTATGAATATATTACTATATTGCATATTAAGTTGTAATTAAAGTTATTAGCTTCATATTAAATCCATCAGCTTGTCTACTTTGGCACAGGATGTTTTCATGTGGATGGAGAAGATGGGCTTCAGTGTGGAGGGTAGCTGCATGTTGAATAAATAGTTAAGGACAACCAACAAAGGGTGGCTCTCTGGCTTAGAGGAGGGATTATCAACTCATTGTAAAAAGGAAATGTTTCTTAGAGTATTCAAAGTCATGCCTTTGGACATACACACCATTAAAAGAACATGATATTTGGGACTCGGAATGGCTGTAGTCTCGTCAGAGCATGTTATGTAATTGGTAGGCAGTATAACTTACTTTTAGTAGGAATGCAAGATGTGAACTGGGAGGGGGTACATTTCACCAGCAAATGAAATATCTCTAGGTAAATTGGAACTGTCTCAGGATATTGTCTAATGTTCAGTAAAAAGCTTAACATGTTATCTTGTAGAGAAACTGTGATATTCATCATATGCACATGTGCGGCTTGCATAGTCAAATAATGCATGATATATTAAATCTGATTTGTGTTACT